ACTGAAGCACCACATGCATGTGCACAGATGGTAGAATTCTTTTTTTTTTTAACCAGCTACTAACATGTGGACCCACAACAGGGACAGCCCAGGCACAAAGGGAGAGAAGCATCTTCAACAGGTGGCCCCTGGGGCCACCCGCACCTGGAGCCACACCGCCTGGGCACCTGGGTATGAACAAAACACGGGTCCAGACAGCGTGGCCCTGGCTCCCTGAGGATGCCGCTGTGCTCTTCTTGGCACCTGCGGGCCACCCTGCCAGACTCCACCCCCAGCCAACCTCTGATGGTCCCCCCAAAGTCCATCTGTGTCTGAAGGCGATGCCCCTAGGAACTCTGGCCTCACCAGGTCCTGCCAGGCTGCCCCAGGAGTTGAAGACAGCAATCAATGGTAGAATTCTTAATTTCCACTTCTTTCTTCTACCCAGATACATACACGCATGTGCAGGTATGATGCATGCATAGTGTTATGGCTTGTGTCCAGATGTCTCCCCAAATCCTGTGCAGTCATAGGTGGGGCTTTTTCAGAGGTAGCTGGATCTAGAGTGTGTGAAGCTGGGATTGATTCATGATGCAATACTAGGCTTAAGGGCACTAGGATTAAGGGTGTGAGTGCTATCTACCCTAAGTAGTCTAGATAAGATAAAAGGGGCAGAAATATGCTGTTAAGGTCCCTTGCTTGCTTTTGCTGTCTTCTTTGTGGAATGAACTGTTTCTCCTCTGCAATGGCCCCCTGCCATGTGCCACTCTGGCTTGGAGCCAGCCAACTTGGACTGAAACCTCTATGAATTGTAAGCTAAATAAAATTTTCCTCCTTTAACTTTAGGTGTTGAGTGTTTTGTCTCAGCAATGAGAAAAATAACTAAGACACCCAGACACCCTTCAGATAGACGGGGAAAAGATGAACATTAAAAACATACACAAGTTCTGGGCAGAGTGTCCGCTGGAAAGAAGGAATGGTGTTTGAAGGCGGGTCTGGTGGGGGGAGTTGGTGTCCCCCAGGGGTCAGGAATCTCTTCTCAACTCCCTGAGGGTTCCAGGCAGAGCTATGGGGAAGAGCACAGAGATGCACCCTGGGTGCTTCCCTGGGTCTTGGCTGGAGATGAGATTTTGGGACTCTAGGACCTGTCCACTCTGGGGCCTCCCTGAATGGCTCCTGTGTAGCTTCCACCACCTCTTCTACCTCCCTTCTTATCTTACTGCTTTTGGCTCCTGAAGCCAGAAACCTGGCAGGAAAAGATAACTGTAAGCTCTGTGTCCCCACCCCATGGATCTCCTAAGGAGGTAATAGTTTCCAGGGCCAGAGGCTGGATTTCAGGATTTGGGAGGGGGAGCGGGGGATGGTATGCTTGCCAGGAGTAGTGGAGTGTGCTTCCCTGCTGAGGCCTTGCTGATGGGCTCCCTTTGGGCAGTTGCAGCTGCAGACCATGAGGCATGGGGCATGGCTTACTGCATAGATCTTTGCAGTTGTGAAGCCTGACTGTCAGTCCTGTTAGCTGCCCCAGAAAACTGAGGCCTCCGTGGGGAGTGTGACAGGGTAATCAGGACCTGACAGATAATGCGCCTCCCTGGCCCATGACCCTCCAATCTGAGTCCTTCCTAGCAGCAGTGTGCAGAGCGCCCCCGATAAGATCACCTGTTGCCTTTGAGCTCCCACAGCTCACAATTCCCTCTAATGTACCTTCTCTGTGACTCATTTGAGTGAGTGGTACCCTAATATTCCTAAGACAGAATTTCAGTGCCATCCTTGCCTCTCTCCCTTCTGTATCTCCCATGGTCCACCCAGCCCTATGGTTTGCCACTGAGTCCTTTCTTCCCAGACATCCAATCACCCAACATTTGTTTGTTTGTTTGTTTTTGAGACAGGGTCTCACTACATAGTCCATGCTGGCCTTGAACTCACTATGTAGCCCAGGCTGGCCTCATACTCTCAGTGATCCTCCTGCCTCAGCCTCCTGAGTGCTGGGATTGCAGGTGTATACCACCACACCCAGCCAATCACTCAACATTTTTGGAACACTTACTTAAACCAATTTCCACACCGTGTGTGGGGAAGACTAATGGCTGAGACAGACAGCCCCTCTTTCTGTGGATGGCATGCATGCAGGTGCATGTACGTGCACCCACACATGTGGATCCAGGGTGCAGAAGGTAGAGGATTGGTGCTAGGCAGAAGAGCTCCTCCACTGAGGAGCAGGGAGCTGAGTTGAGCTTCCAGCCAGCCTGGGGAGGAGGGAGAGCTGCTCAGAACTGGCAAATCTGTTGCTCTGATTGGAGATCTGGGATTACTGTGTGAGAAAAAAAAAAGGTACCACAATCTAGGGCAGAGTCCTGAGTTCCAGTCATGTCTTTGCTTGCCTTGCTGAGTGGCATTAGGCTGGTCCCTTTCCCACTCAGGATCTTAGTTTCCCTGGCCTGTGACTTCAACTTTCCCAACTTCGTGGTTTTTGCCTGGCAGGGATTTGATTTTGTGAGGTGACTGGCAGGGGGACTTGAGAAGTTTTATCCACATCCTGCTTGGATCCTAGAACCAGAGCTGAGCCAGGGACCTGCAGACAGCAGCTGGGTCAGAGCTAGGTGAGGGAGAGCTGGAAGGCAGGCGCCTGAACCCCTGGCTTGGTGGGAGGTCAGTCTCCGCTCGCTAGCTGACATCAGGGCTGGTGAATGTGGAGGGAGTTCAGCCAGGCCCGTCAGCCCTCACCTCCCTCGCAGTCCAGTCCCGGGCAGGGGCTGAGGAGGAGGAGAGTGGGGGAGGGGCCTGAAAGGGCCAGGGACAGAGCTAGAGCTCCCCGGTCTTGGAGCTAGCTCACCGGGTGGTGCCAGTCCTCCATCCCAGCCCTTCCCTCCCCAGAATCCCCCTCTCCCTCCCTCCCCTCTGACTCTTGTCCTCACCCTCCCAGTTAGTTCTTTTTCCTCTCCTAGGCTCACTGTCAGACAATGACTCAGTGGTCTGACTACTGAGAGAAAGGAGCTAAGTGGGATGGTTTGAATCTTGTACCATCTGCCTTCCCAGAACTCACACTCAGCCTCAATCTCTGCCCTTGGCAGAGTCCCTACTTTAGCCTCAGAAGGAATCTGGCCCTGCCCCCAAACAGCTCCCCTAGGTATTCTCGGGTGGTCCAGGAGGGATCAGATAGCTCATCTAAGGTTGGAGACTAGAGACTCTACATTCTGTCACCTCCTCTTCCCTGTTAGCATTCCTGCCCTAGAGACCCAGTCTCCTGGAGGATGAGAGAAAAGGCTGGACCCTTGCTCACCCTCCACCCCATGCCTGTGCTGCTGGTTCAGGTACTTCCCAGGTACAGAACAGCTGACCAGGGACTGACCCATCCAGGCCCTCCCAAGCCATCCCTTCTGTAATTGGGTCCGGCAAGGGAAGGGAAGGGGCTTCCCTGGCTGAGTCCAGGATTATTAAACTCCAAGATCCTTGTGCCCAGACCTGTAGGGGCTATGAGCACTGCTGGGAAAGAGCCGCTATAGCAGTGGCTCTCAAAGTCTCTCTCAAAGATTCCACCTGGAGAAACAATTCGGCTCACTCTGTCCAGATGGCTACTTGGAACACACACACACACACACACACACACACACACACACACACACACACACGCAACATGCATGCCTTTTGGCAACTGACTTTCTCATGAAATAATTGCTGGAAAGCTCCTTGGATTAGGTAAACCAGTGTTCCTTCCTGTCCCCACTTGGGGAGGGGGGTAATGATCAGCAGTAAGGCTGATCCAGCTCCTTTGTGGGAGAGAAGGCCAGGCTAGGAAGGTCTGTTAGCTGAACACTGAACACAATTACGGGAGGAACAAGCCTTCAGCCTTCTCTTCTCTGCGAGCCATCTGGCTGTGCCTGCCCAGCCTCTCAGCCTTCTTCAGGGGAGGCAGGCCTGGGAAAGAGAAGGCTAATTAGAAAAGTCTTTTTGCACAAAGGGTGAGATGTTTTCACTTTTATCGGAGATCAGTTTTATAGTGTTCATTATCCCATCATCCTAAAGCAGCAACTGTTTCTATCCTTCCTTTTTCTTGTGATGGTTAGGGTTTGTGTGTGCGGGTTTGGAACGGGGGGGACTATCTGGGACCAGGAATGAAAAAAGGGAATAGAGGCAGGAGTTTCCACCTTTGGGTAGAGGCCGTGACTGAGCGGCTGCTGGGGCTGCTGCTGTACGGGGGGGTTGGGGATGGGGGTGGGGCGGCAGGAGATTACTCCCCAAGCGGCCCAGGGAAGGATTTGAAGATTCTGCCCTAGCACACTCCTTCCTGTCTGCCCTCAGCCTTGCCTCAGTGCCCTGGCAGGGGCCCCTGGTTGAGCTTGGAGTCTTTATACTGGTGAGAAGAGTGCAAAGATTTTGCTACTGTGTGCGTGTGTGTGTGTGTGTGTGTGTGTGTGTGCGCGCATGTGTGTGTGGAGGCAGTTGCAGAGAGCGGGAGGGGACTTCACCACCTGTCTTCTCCTGAGGTTTTATAACAGGTGCAAGAAATTCCAGGCGAAAGTCCCACAGGTGAATACATGCATGTGAGAACCGAGTGGTGACAGGCACAGGGTGAGGGTCAGGACAGCAGTTCTGAGGGCTGCCACCGCTGCTGCTCTCAGGTTTCTCTGAGCAGTGGAGTCCTCACGCCCAACAGAATCCGGCCGGGCCCCGCGAGCGAGAGTCCAGAAGTAATGCCCAACCCTCGGTGTTGTCCACTTGACTGCCAGGCCTTCTTCCGGTGGGTCAGCAGCCCCTCCCTCAAGCCACATCGCTCCTCCGGGATCAAGCGGGGCTCTAACTCGACACTTCCTCCAAGGCTCCGCAGCCCAGAAGAGGAAAGGCGAGAGCGCTCTTCATCCGCGCCTAGGGTCCCGCATCCCACATCTTGGCACAGGTCGCCAGAGACGGGGTGCCCGCGGAGGGAAGGACCCGCCCCTCTGCCCCGCCCCCTGCGCGAAGGCCATTCCCGGGGCTCGGGGCCCGCCCCCCCCCGCCCCACCCCGCCCCTCCGGCCATCTCTCGGGTTAAGCCAGCAGCCGACCACCAGTAGGTGCACAGAACCGAAGAGCTAGAGACCGCTCTTGTCCCGCGCCGGCTCCGAGGTCCGTGCACCCTGCTGGGCCATGGAGTCCACCCTGGACGCTGAGGAGGCGCGCACCGTGCGCGAGGCGCTGGGCCGATACGAGGCGGCGCTGGAGGGCGCGGTGCGCGCGCTGCACGAGGACATGCAGGGGCTGCAGCGCGGAGTGGAGCGGCGCGTAGCCGAGGCGTTGAGCCTGGCTGGGCCCCTGGCGCGCACCGTGGCGGAGCTGCAGCGCGACAATCAGCGGCTGCAGGCGCAGCTCGAGCGCTTGACGCGCCAGGTGGAGGCGCTGGGCTTGGCGACAGGGCTGTTCCCCGTGCCCGACACGCCCAGTCCCCCGCCTGCGCCTGGCCTTCCGAACCGCGCGCCCCGCCTGGGCACCGCACGCTTCTCCAGCCACGCCACCTTCTCGCTGTCCGGCCGCAGCCAGGTAAGCCCGGGGGAGCGCAGCGTACCGCGTGGGTGTTTGTGAGCGTGCGCAGGGGAGTGGAGTTCGGCGTCTAGGGCCAATGGCCACTTTGAGTGAACGTGCTCCAGAGGTGTTTTGTCTCTGCCTCCACCTGCCGCGGGGACTTGGGGTCCCACCATCACTCTGGAGTTGGAAAGGTCAGAAACACTGCTTAGCCTGTCCGCTGCACCTGCCTCTCTCCCCCTCTCTTTGGAGCCAGACCTGTGTGCCCTGAGTTTAGTCTCCCTTTTCCTTCAGCCCCATTGCACTACATGGGCGCTGAGGTATACGGCCCTTGAAAATTCAGAACCGCCCGGGGCCACAACTGTGGTTGAAATGGTCAGCAACCTTTACCTCCACCTCCATTCACGTGCCCCGTGTTGCTGCTCACTGAGGCTTGACCACTGAGGTTATAGATTAACCCAGACGGAGAACTCAAGTTACAGAGAGAGAGAGAGAGAGAGAGAGCGCGAGCGAGCGAGCGAGCGGGGTGGGTGGGGGGAGGTTGGGGCTGCTCAGCAACTGTGTTTGGGAAGCAGCATTGCAAGGGGCAAATCCCTTACCGTGAAGGAGAGAGGAGGAGCCAGCATTGAGCTGTGTCTAGATTCCTAGGGTCAGTGACTGCCCAGAGGCCAGTGTGGACCAGTCACTATCTTGATCCTGGGCCTCCTGGAGCGGCAGGTCTGGGGTGGAAGGTTTCCATGGTGTGTGCAGTGGCCCTTACATGGGATTTTCCATCCCGAACAACCATGTGCTCTGGGGTTGGGTTTCCAGGGTCTGCACCTGCTGCCCCTCCTCCATGCAGTCTTTCAAGCACTGAGTTCTTCTGCTGTGCACTTGGGCTGCACCTGGGCGGGGGTTGGGGGTGTCTGGAGGAGGCCTTGCCTCCATGGGGCCCAGCCAGGGTGGAGGTGGTTGCAAAATGAGCAGTGCCAACAGTGTAAGCAACCATCGATGTTCTGCTCCAAACACAGTAGTCCTTTGGCAGGGGACATCCCAGGAGGGCTTTGTGCTAGAGGTCCAGGGCTTGCTGCTGCTGGTGCAGGTGGGCGTGGGTGGGCAGCCATGCATGCACCCCCAGAAAGACTGAAAGTACTGGCCAAGGTGGAGCCCCCAGGTATGAGAGTGGTGGACTGAATTGTGAAGGCCTCCAGGATGTTGGGCAGAAGAGTTGAGCTTTGTGCTAGGGGCAGAACCCTGGGTGTCCCAGTGCTCTGTGTGAAGTGTCAGGAAATATGGATTTAAGTACTTAAGTCAGTCCTGTAAGCATGACAGTCTGTGTGTCCCTGGTGTAAAATCACCATGAGCTCACAAGTGCCAAATAAACTGTGTCACTGGTCATTTTTGAAGTTTCTTTTTAACTTGTATTTGTTACTTGTCTGCTCATAGAAGCAGCTAAGTTTTAAGAAAAATAATCTCAATCATGTGTGTGTATATATATTCTTATATATATTCACATATAGGTATATGTATATACATTTAATTATATAAATGAATGATTCTTTACAGTCATGAATTTTAAATGAGAATTTACCATTATTTACCAAGGCCAAGGTAGCCCTCTTGGATGTGGGATGGTGGGTCGGGGAAGATAGGAAGGGAGGAGACAGAGTCCAGCTTGTATCTGGCAAGTTCCCTCAGTGTTGGCTGGCCATTAGCATGTGAGTGGACGTTAGGGTTTGGGTTTGGCGCTGAGTAACTTGGTTGCCATGATCCAAGGAGACGGGATGGGTCTGAGCTGGGGCAGTGGTGTGCGAATGGACTCAGCAGGCCAGGTAGTCTTTGGATGTGAGAATGGAGGCAGAGAAGAAACCTGCCTTGGGAGACCACTGGATCACTGATCCAGGCGGGGTGTGCGTACAGTGAGGGGACTTGGAATTTCCAGATAAAGCTGCAAAAGAGCAGGTGGATTCATTGTCTGGTGCTCCAGAGAGCAGTAAGGCTGATAGTTCAGAGGTGACTGGGGCAGAGCTGGTGGTCAAAATCATAGAGTAGGTGTGATCTTCAGGGCAACAGTAGAGAAAGAACCCTGGGCAGAGGCAGAGGCAGAGGAGTCTGAAGGAAGCACAACCCGGCCAAGGAACTGCAAGAGAGCAAGGAGGACCTGGAGTGCCCACTCTTAGAAACGCAGAGGAAAGCTGGCGGTGCACGCCTGTAATCCCAGTACTTGAGAGGCTGAGGCAGGAGGATCATTTTGAGTTCAAGGCCAGCCTGAACTATATAGTGAGACTCTGTCTCAAAAAACAAACAAACCAAACAAAAAAGAAATGCAGAGGAGAAACTTATGGAAGAAGAGGCGTGCTGCAGCCTCTTGGGGTTGAGGATGGAGACCCCACTGGGGAGTAGGTTATAGACTTCAGGAAGGACCCAGGCAGTGATCAGCAAGTATAGTAGAGCACAGTGGGTGGAGGATGGCGTGTGTCCAGCTGGGCCAGAGGCTGCCCAGCCCAGGATCCCTGGCTCCCTTGGCCTGAGGCAGCTCCCCCCTTCTGACCCCAGAGGTACAGTCTCATTCTCTTGTAGCTCGCCCTCTCAGGAGCTCCAACTTAGGCTCTGAGCCAGTTTCTCGTGGTGGTGGGGGCTGTGCAGAGCCACGCACACATTCCGGCTCCCATGCTGTGACCAGCAAGTGGCCTGTGATCAGGTGCTTGGTCATAAGCTAGGACTCAAGGCTTTAGGAAAAAGCTGCAATGTGGGCTGGGCATGGTGGCACATGCCTGTAATCTTAGCACTTGAAAGGCTGAGGCAGGAGGATTGCATGAGTTTGAGGCCAGTCTGAATTGCATAGTGAGACCCTGCCTCAAAATAACCAAGCAACAACAAAATGAGTGTGGACCATGGACAGAGTCACAGCTGGGTGCTGGGTGCTGGTTGTCTGTGCGTGGCAGGGTCTGGGTGTGAGGGTCTCATCCCATGCACAGAAGCCAGGGGTGGCTGTGCTACTTGATTTGTGGCCAGGCCTGGTAGAGGCTGGTGTTAACACTGCCCGCTTGTCACAAGCAGTGAAATGTAGGAACCCTTTTGCTGGGGAGTGTAGGAGTTGCAGGTAGGTTTGAACTCAGCATACAAATGTGCCTTGAACTCAATGCAGAACAAGTTGGTCAGGTAACCTACTTCTGAGTGCACAAACCTTGACCTTGCTACAGCACAGACTAACATGGGGCTGGATGACAGAGGAATGGGCAGGGAAGCTGGAGGAGGAGGACAGGGTACTTTGGTGGGAGTAATCAGGGTAGACTCACTGTAGGAAGGCAGAGACCCTGGAGCAAACAGGAGGTACTTCTGGGACGTTTGCTCTGAGGCCTTGGGAGCATCTCCTCCCAGCTGGGCCTCAGTTTCCTTATAGCTGGACCAAAGGGATTGGACTGGCTCTGTTGGGCGCCCTGTGTTAAGCAGGCAAGGTAGTTGGTACCCAGTAGATCTGGTTAACAAAAGTGTCCCAGGAGCCACTGCTGTGGTGGCCTCAAGTAGGGAGCCAGGATCCCGCTGGGGGTCTAGGGTAGATGATGACAGCCCGAGGCCAGGCCCAGGTCCCAGGAGGCTGGCCCAGAGTTGTTTCCTGGAAATGTCGTCCTCAGTTAAGCTGGAGCCACTGGGTCCCCATGGCCAAAGTAGCCAGTAAAGTAACCTCTTAGGAACAAGTGCCAGGAGCCGAGTGTCAGAGGCCTGACCATGAAAGAAACCAGACTCCCTTATCTGCCTTCCTTTCCCAGACACACTGTGTGATAACAGGGTTTAATGCTTTAGGGAGAAGTCTGAACTGAGTGTTTTAAAACTGGTGTGAGTGGAGGCGGGCGGGGCCAGTGAGATCAATGGGCTTAGCATGGGGTGCTGCCTGGCCTGGGCTGTGCTGGGTACACGTGTGGGCTCCTATGCCCATGTATGAGCCCACATGGATTAGGTAGCACTGAGAAGGCCTGAAATATTATTTCTTCCCCTGCAAAATGTTTAAAAACCTCCCCAGTAAGAGGGTCCCATCTCTCAGAGTCCCTGACATTGGATTTATCTCATCTCTCCTTCTCCTCCTGAGTTCCCAGGCCTGGGCTTCCTCACAGGGCACCTCCTCCTTCCTTAAAGAGTGACATAGGGAATCTTAGGGTGCTCAGTAGGACCTGTCCCCAGCCCCAGGGCTCTGCAGTGACTTCTGCCCTGGCCTTAGCACACAGAGGGTCTTCCCTTGGTTCCCTCACTCATGGCTAGGGCAGATTGCTCCCATCCAAAGAGGATGGATGCCCCCAGGAATGAACTTGGACCCTGAACTGGCTCTAACCTAGCCAGCTGGGCCCTTTGGTGTCGGTGCTCACATTCTATGAAGATCCTGCTGGATTGCTTCTTCCTCCCAGTTACCTGGCTAGGACAGAGCCTGTGGAGCCAGGACTCACCCTGACGCAGGTCCTGGGAGCCAAGTTTGTCTTGTGTTGTCCTCTCTGCCCTCTGGAAGCCCAGAGCACTTTGTAGATAGAGCTCTGAACTGGGGAGGGAGAGTCTATCCCTAAATCTTGAAGTGGCTACTGCCTTCAGCCAGTGTGAGTTTAAGGGCGTCTTGCCCTGCTTCAGGTTGGTTTCCCCATCTGTGTGATGAGGGCTTCGAGGATGGGCTCACAGTATGGTCTGAGGCATGAGCAGGTGAGGAGTGGCTGGAGTCTGGAACTGGAGTGGATGAGAGGCAGGGGAATGTGGGAGTCCAGACTCAGCCGCACACCCCAGCTGCTGCTGTCCTCCCAGCCTGAGTTAGCCCAGATTATTTCCCTGTGCCCTGTGTTAAGAGATCTGTTTGCAGGAATCCGACTAATGGAGAGATGCAGAGCCGACTTCCTGTTTTGTCTCCTGGGGGTATCTTGAGGGGTAGGGGCGTGCAACGAAAGGTGCAGAGACAGGCATTTGAAACCCCCCTCCCTTTCCGAAGACCTACATTCCTGGAAAAATGATTTCACCATTAGTCTTTTCTTCCAGGCCCCTGCCTGGACCTGTGGAACCTGTTGGGCCAGAGCAGAGGGGGTAGGAATAGAGACCCCAAAGCTGAGCTGGCCCTGGTGACAGTGGAGGTGAAGGTTCCATCTGGACTGACTGGTTCTCTCCCTTTGTTGATTAGCTGTATGTTTTAGGGCACCCTTCCTGCCCTGGAGGCCAGCGCATTCCAGCCCTTCTCCAGTGGTCCTCTGGATGGCTCTGGCCTCTCTTCACCCTTCTGAATCAGAAGTTGAGGGGTTGCCTCCTCTCCAAGGCAATACTGTCTTTGGGCTCTGGGTCCTGTCCTCTGTCACCTCCTCAGGGTCCCACCCTGCAGATGGTCCTCTCACTTTGCCAGTCAGTTTCTTGCAACCTGTCATTGTGGTCCTGCTTCTTTCATCTGGTCAAACTCCTCAGACCTCTGTCTCTGGCTCCCCTCACCTGACTAGAATCTGGGCGGCTAGAGAAGCAACCTGCAGCTCAAACCACCTGCCCTTTCCGTCAGCTTCTCCCCAGGCTGTCTCCTGCCACCACCCTCATCCCATGCTTCTGGATCCATTTCTACAGCCATCACTAGTGACATCTTTCTGGCGAAATGCAACGGATGTGATTTCCATCTCACTTTGACGTTCTTTTCCTTGACCTCAGGCTGCCTTTGGACACTCTGCCTTCTGGATTGACTTTCCTCCTGGTTTTCTCAACATCTCACTGCATTTCTTCCTTCCTCCCTGGCTCTTCTCCACCACAGACACCTCTTCTGCTTCCTGCGATGGGGCTGCCACATCCCAGGCCCCACCATCCCTGTGCTCTTCCTCAGCTAGGCTCCCAGGAGCCTGTGGATGTAGTGGCTCCTGTTTCCCCATTGTCCGTTGTTTCTTTCTTTTACACTTTGGACTCAAATATCCAGCTATCTCCTCAGCACCCTGATATCCCAGGGACACCCGTCTTGTCCAGAACAGAAATCTTTGCCCTCCCCTCAAAACCTCCTTAGTCATTTGGGCCCAAGTCACTAAAAGTGGTACCATATCCACTCACTCTACCAGTTGGATCCCTTTCTCCCCAGAGCTCTGAGTCCTGGTCCCCTGTCACCTCCGACATCATCCCTCCCTGGGACCATTGAGTTGGCTGGTCATCTGGTGCCCCTTTTCATGCCACTCCCACTGGCTTCTAAAGGATGTCCTTAGAACAAACCTTTGGCTCCTTCTATCTAAGAAGGCAAGTCCAAGTACTCTGGGTTGGCAGGTTGGGCTGCACAGTCATGTGGGGTCAGAATATCTGGGCCTTGATGTCTCTGCTTTTCAGTCACCAGTCACCCTACTGGGAATGGCCTCCTTTGCTTAGGCACCTGGCTCACTCTGGACTTGGCTCAGACTTCCCTGCCCTTGGGAAGCTCTCCCTGCTCCCTGGGTGAAGTCTGCCTTGGGTACCTTCATGCTGGCTTGCACCGTCTGTGCACCTGACAGCCTGATGCCCCCATGGCAGGGTGGGCACCTGCAGCACTGGTTACAAAGGACCTAAGCCATCTGGGGCTGGGAAGCTTATAGACCAGGGCACCAGGCTAGAGACATTTAGGGGGAGGCCAGTCCCTCAAGCTACCAGAATGGCCTCTCAGTAGAGACCCTGGCTGGGGTCTGCTATTGTCCCCTCTTGCCAGGCCGACACCCCCAGCCCCAATGATACTCTGAGCCTGATGTATCCTCACTGAGAGGAGGCAGGACGCAGGGTGAGACGGATTATCCGGGCTGCTACAATCCCAGCTGAATTTCACTGTACAGCCCTGGACAGTGTGTGTCTCCTATTTGGGCCCTAGAGTCCCATCTGTGAAATGGGCTTCATGGTTGATGATGTCCAGATGGCATTTGTATAGCCTTCTTTTGTTTTTCAAGCTGTGACCCAGAGGGGATGTGATATCGCCCAGCAGCTCAGCCAGCACCCCACACTCTCCCACCCACCCCTGTCTCTGCTGTCTGTCTGCCTTCTGCTGGCCCCACTCTCTGCTGTAGCCCAGGGAGAGTGTAGGGCTGGCATGGAGCTGATGAGGCCTCTGTATACCTGGGAGATCTGTCCTTGTATGGCGTCTGTCTGAGGGGCTCTGTTGCCCATCTATCCTTTGGCCCATAAGACCTTGTGCCTCCCAGTTCCTGCTGATCCCATGTGAGCAGCCATGCCAGCCTGGCCCAGCTGGGAGGAAAAGGGGCCAGGCCCTCCCACCCCATCACCTGCTCCAGCCGGGGGAGGGTTAGAGCCAATGACACACTGCTTCAGAGCTGTCAAACTTGGCTTTTGTCCTCAGCTTTTTTGAGCTCTGGGATGAGCCCAGGAGAGGTGTTTGCCTTTCATTATGTGTGTGCCTTTCAGCTGGGTGGGTTGATCCCAATTTGCTCTTGACCTTGGCTTACCACTCTACCTCCTGAGGGATGTTTCCTCCCAAAATGAGTGAGGTTTACCCTGGCAGAGCCAGGAGGGACCTTGGGAAGTGGTTTTGGGGTGGACAGCTGGTCCCTGTTGATGGGGCCCCAGTGGCATCCATATCCCTGCAGAGTGTGGATCATGATGAAGCCAGTGAGCTCGAGATGAGACGCACTTCAAACTCAGGCATCGTTGAGAATGGACACCAGCCAGGAGCAGGTAGGGCTGAGGGCAGGGGAGAGGTATTTGGGTAGGTTTGGGGGTTGGGGTCTCAGCCCGGCATTTGTACCAGCAGTCTCTTGGCTAAGGGTGGTGGGGAACATGGGTCTAAACCCCAACAGGCAGAGGGGATTCTAGGATAGTAGCATTGTTCAGTGTATAGTGGAATTTTTTAAACAAAGGGAAATGTGAGATCTTAGAAGGTAATGAGCTTCCCTGTTTCTGGAGGAAAACAAGCAGGGGCTGAGGAATTGTCTAAACAGTAAAGAGAGTAGGGAGTGGATTGAGAAGCCAACTAGTATCTGTTGTACCAGCTATGAGGGGAAATTGGGAAGAATTACCTCCGGTAGGAGCAGCAAGATGTCCCTAGTGAGGAAGCTCAGGAAGCTGGAATAGTCAGGGAGGTCTTCCTGGGAGAGAAGGGATAGGGAGGCTGGAGTCTTCCTGAGTTGGGTGTCTGAGGCTCCTGTGGCCCCACAGTTGACCCACCTCTCCTGGTCTCACATTCCAGGTCCAGGCACTGGTCCCACTGAGGGAACCCAAGCCTCAGCCCCAGAGCCCCCCATACCTCGCCCTGTGAGCCTCCCCTTGCAGTTGCCCCATCAGCCGGTCACAGCTGTCACCCGTGTCTCTGAGAAGTTCTCTGGGGAGACCTCAGTTGCAGCTCTGTCACCCACGTCTGCTGCCATCCTGGGGGGCTTCAGCCCCAGCACCAGGGAAGAAACCACCCCCTGGACTTCCAGTACCACTGGTATGAGCAGGAGAGCACAGTGTGGGGGTCCACCCACCTCAGGGTGGGAGAGGGAGGGCAGGGACTGGGAGTTGCAGGAGCCTCAGAAAACCCAGGCCAAGCCCCAGCTCACCTCTGCCCATCACTGTGACGCCTTCCTTTATTCCATCTGCTCTGTCAAAGGGGGCCTGAGCTTGCCAGACTCCTTTTCAGAGATAGTGAAATGGCATCATCCTCTGCAGATGATGGCCATGGCTTTTATGAAGGGTCAAGGCCCTGGTTACCTTACACATCTGCACAGTCCCCTTCCCTAGTACCCTGTTTCCTCAGCCCTCTGGCCTGTCTTGGGTGTGGTCAGCCTCAGTGATGTGGCCTGGGCTGCACGATATGAGCTTCCAAAGGAAGGTTTGGGGACAGTGTTTGCTGGTCACACAGCATAAGAGGCCTTGGGCTCTGTGCCCTTAGGAACAGGGTAGGGGACAATTTAAAGGATGTCTTTGTTGTCACTGCTGTGTGTCCCCATCCTCCTTTCTCCTCAGTTTGCTGAGACAGGGCTAGCTTAGCCCTTGGGTTTCTGCTTGCTCCCTGAGGGATGCTGGGTCAATGAGGCGGGGCTTGGTCAAAGAAAGGGATCTGTGGCTGGCCTTCCCTGAGGCCAACTGTGTTGTTTCTCTTTTTTCATCCTGCAGAGAATTCTTCCTTCACAAGGTCTTTGTCAAGCTTTGGCTACAGGGGAGTCACAGCAGGCAAGTGCAAGGACAGGTGAGTTCTTTGCTCCCAAGCTGGCTTCTCTGTATTGCCTGGGACCAGGGTGCTCAGGTCCCCTGCAAGGAGCTCCCCATCTTCCTGGGGGTTAGGGGTCTGGAGAGCTAAAGCAGCTGGGTTAGTGGGTAGGGTAGGAGCAGGGTGAGGCTGAGGGTGAAGTGAGGCCAGTGGCTTTGTGGAAAGGTTTATTGAGAAGAGCATGGCTGCAGCATGGCTTCTCTGTGGGCCCCTCAAAGCAAGTCATTTAAAAGATTGCAGTTGTGGACCCTCAGAATCCTGTAAAGCATTATGGGGATTTATGCCTCTGAGGGTAAAATGAGGCAGGAGATTAGGGCATGGGAGTCAGCTGGGCAAGTAGGCATGATGTGTCAATCATGGAAATCCAGGACACATGCACAGAAAAACAGTTTCAAGCCCTGCACCTAGGACCAATCAGAAAATGCTATTTTCAGTTCTTCAGGTACAAAATCAAGCAGATTTTTGATAGGATGGCCTAGATCTGATATCAGAATGGAGGACACAAAAGAGAATCACCATTAACCTCATTGGCCTCTGTGTTCTCCCTTTGTCAATGGCCCACTCTGCACTCTGCCAAGTATGCTTCTCTTCCTACCTTTAATTGATCTGCACTCACTCTGAAGAGCACGTTTATTTTCCTACCTTTAATAAAATATAAAACCTCACTACCATAAAAAAAAAGATTGCAGGTGTGCAATCCCAGGGAGGCTGAGGCAGGAGATTGCAAGGTCAAGGACAGCCTGCATAACTTAGTAACTTAGTGAGGCCATGTCTCAAAAAAAAAAAAAGCTGGGATGTAGCATAGTATGAAGGCCCCGAGTCACAAACAAACAAATAAAAAAATGACCCCAGCTAGGATGTAGATCAGTGATAGAGCATTTATTTAGAATGCACGAGGCCCTGAGTTTGACCCCTAGCATTAAAAAAAAAGATTGCAGAGGTGTGTGTGTCTTAGCATCTTAGCCTCCATGGAAAGAAGGATGGGACAACCTTCTGCTTTCTCTGAGCAGGTGCCTGGAGAGGCCTTTGGGGCTGGGGCAGGCAGCAGAGCTTCCCCAGGATGCAGAGCTCCTCCAGGACTGTTGGGGCCCTGTGCTCCCCAGGCCTGCTGAACTAGGGGTGGGGTGGCAAGCTTGGCTTTTTCTCTCCCTTTTAATTAGAAAAGGAGAATTGTGACTTCCTGGCAGATTGTTCCAGGGGTCTTGTGGAGTGGTAGTGAGGAGGGAGGTCTGTCCTGGTGGGGCTGGCTCGGTATACCTCTTGTATGAGGAAGCTGACACCTGCCAAGGGGTAGTTATGCTCAGAGAGGGGCCCACCCTTCCTCCCCAGTTGGGCTTGATGGCTTCAGACTGCAGCTCTGTTCTGAAACCTGCCAAACCAGTTGGACACGGGCAAGCAGGGCTCCAGTCCATCACACAGAGTACGGGGCCAGACCCAGGCTCAGGGGAGCCAGGATGCTCGGGTCTGTGTTCCTGACTCGGTGGTTTTCTCTTTAGCCCACCATTGGTGACGCCACCCCAGTCACCCCTGTCCCCGCAGCTGCCGGCCACGACTCAGGCCCCTCACCAGGGGGAGCGTCGCAGGGAGCTGGTGAGGTCACAGACGCTGCCCCGCACCTCAGGGGCACAGGCCCGGAAGGCGTTGTTTGAGAAGTGGGAGCAGGATACAGCGGGCAAGTATGGATCCCCCGTGCCCACCAAGCCTGTTTCCCAGAGTGGGCCCAGCCCAACCTCGGGTCAGATAGGCAGGCTTAGGAAGGTTGGGCCCTGTCCTGTTCCCCCAGATCAGACCTCTCTGATAAAGTTCAGGGTCACCGGTGGGGGTCGGTCAGGGGACCCTAGTCATGGAGAAATGAGAGGTGTGGGTCAGGGAGCCAGAAGAGAGCTGATGAGGATCCCCCTCTCCAATGTGTGGCGCCCTGGTCCTCAGCACCCCTAGTACTTGCAAGCTTCCTCACCTGAGTTCCTCATTGGCTGTGGCTCCTCCATAGCCGATGGCACAACTGGGGGAACCTACAGGGGTCCGGAGTCCTAGCTGGTGCTGGGTGCCCTACTGAGGGGCTGGACTTGCCTGAGGACTTAAGAGGTGACACAGCAGGACCTCACTGGTCACTACCATGCTCTTTTAGCAAAGGGATCCTTGGAATACTGCCTGCCTTTGGATATTTATCTAGTCATCTTGGCAGTGCATGCTATTGACACCTGCTGTGTGCAGACTGCAACCCAGGCCTTTGTGATGAAGGACAATAACTGACTCCAGTGAGGGAGTCAGGTCCAGGAAGCTTCCAACTGACCCCAGGCAACCTGACCTAGGCCATTAGGGAGTGTCCTTGGGCCCCAAAGAAGAGACTACCCCTTCTGGCTAGGAGAGAGCCATCTGGGAAGGAGGCTCAGAAGGAGGGTGGGAGGAAGGGAGGAGGAAAGTGGTCCAGGGAGAGTACAGGGAGGGGCATGAGGCCATGCTGGCTCAGGTCCTCTGTCTCAGGGCTCCCTAGGGACCCCTCTTTCCTGCTGTGGGAGACACATGGGGTCCTGGAGGGCCGGAAGGGGGAGGCCTGTCCTGCCAGACAGCATCAAAGAGGGCTGTGTGGCTGGTGTGAGGGCTGGGCTGTGCCCTGACCAGTATCACCCTACAGTGAGCATATCAGGGGACATCTTCTTGGGTGGCATGGGAATGTGCTCCCTTCGGCCCCCACAGCAGGGCTGCCTTCTCTCCACAGGGGCAAAGGTGAGGCTCGGGCCAAGCTAAAGCGGTCACAGAGCTTTGGTGTGGCCAGTGCCAGCAGCATCAAGCAGATCCTGCTCGAGTGGTGCCGCAGCAAGACCCTGGGCTACCAGGTAAGCCCAGCCCAAGGTCAGAGCAGACACTCTTGCCCCCCTGCCTTTATCCCTCTGGGCTACCAAGGCTGGGGGGATAGGGTAGGAGCCAGAGAAATCATCCTAGCCACCTGCCACAGGTAGTTAGAAATCTGAAGAATCCAGATCTAGGTCCGAGGAGACTAGTCTAGCGCACCTGAAGGGGTGGGGTCTGTTGATGACATTGGTTGCTGGGTGGATGGTGGGCCTTGGGGAAGGGCTGGGAGGATCTGCTCGTGGGGTTGAATTGGGTGTGGGGAGCTGAGGTAGTCATCCCCACTGATGCCCGCTCTCCCTGCACACAGCATGTGGACCTGCAGAACTTCTCCTCCAGCTGGAGTGATGGGATGGGTTTCTGTGCCCTGGTGCACTCTTTCTTCCCTGATGCCTTCGACTACAATGCCCTGAGCCCCACACAGCGGCAGAAGAACTTCGAGCTGGCCTTCACTATGGCTGAGTGAGTATAGCAAATCTTGCTGGCACCTGGCCCCAGCCCAGATGTTAGCCTGACTCCTGCTCAGGTAGGACGTAGGGGCACACAGGACATGGGCAGGTGTCCAAAGAGCTGAGGGACCTCAAGGCCATAGGTCTGCATTCCTGTTGTACAGATGGGAAAACTAAGGCCTGGCAAGAGATTTTCCCAGCATCACCCAGCACCAGTAGTAGAGCAGGGTCTCTCTGTTCCTGGCCTTCCTCCTCTCCTTCCTGGGTACCCTGCCTCTGGGGTGCGGCGTAGGAGACCATCCACAGACAGGGTGTGAAGGGGCAGTGGGACAGGGGCCCCAGGGAAATGGGTCTGCTTCTCAGGCTAGCGAAAAGCTGTGCTGCTTGAAAGATTCCCACTGCTGACCAGTAAGAAACTAGATGACATCCGGGACATTTAAAAGTAGAGTTTTCTTCCCCCCAACTGTTCTCGTATTCACAGTGATACTGTCTTTCTTGGTGTGTTTTCTATTGCGATAACAGAATATTTGACATTAGGTAATTTATGAAGAAAAGAGGTTTATTCTGGCTCACAATTTTGGGGGCTGGTGATGGTATCTGCTCATCTGGTGAGGGCCTCGTGCTGCTTCAGCTCACGGAAGTGGAAGGGCAAGTGGGCTGTGTACATGCTGGGAGGGAACAAAGAGGGCTGTACGCTTTGCAACAACCTGTTCTCGAGATAACAAGCCCACTTTTATGGGAACTACATTAATCTCCTCATAAGAGTGGATCCCACATGATCTAAACTCTTAAACGCTTACTACATCTCGACACCATTACACCAAGGGCCAGGGGTCAAAATGAAAGAAGGATTGGAGAAGACGAACCAGTCCTGGGATCAGGTTGTTATAGACAGCTAAGTTAGATGGAAATGTAAGAGGCAGCCAGACAGGGCTGAACCCTCGAGAGAGTCAGGACAGAACGTGAAAACATACTACAGCTGCGGCCAGAGACGTATAGGCTGGGGCCGGAACTCAAGATAACAGACAAGGACCAGGCCTGCAGACTTCCTCATGGGGTGAGATAAGTGATAACACCTGGTTCAGTAGAGGCTAGAGAGGCGTCACCTCAGTCAGAGGGTGACCAAGACCCCCGGATCTATCACTTACCTGAGACGTTCTCTGTTCTTTCCATGAACTCTTGCTATGTGACTTGTGTCCCTGTTGGATCACTATTACCTAAGCGACTATACTTGTAACCTTGTTGGTTAATCAAAGCCATAACCCACGCTGTCCCCACGTGGGTTTTGCTCTGTAGAACTTCCTTGTAAAGTGGGGTCCCTGACTACCCATTCGGGACTCCTTCTGCCTCTCAAGAGCTATCCTTTCAATAAATAGTTTCCGACTCCATTGTTCCTAGAATTCATTCTTTGATTTTTAGAGAACACAAATTAGGCATGTCAGACATCTAACCTGTTGGGAGATGCAGTGTTTGCATATTTCATCTCCTGTATCAGGGCTGTTCTTGGGAAACCCATTTGGGATTAGGCCACCAGCCAAGGGCAACCCCCAGAGCATCAGGAGAGTTGGTTAAGCGAGGTCTGTCCAGGAGGGCCCTGGCAGGGGATGAGTGTGGATCCAGCTCGGGTAAGGAGTTTAATAAAGGCACTCTCCACAAAGATGTGGACAACATGAGAGCAATGATGCAGGGCAGGGCAGCAGCACCCTTAGGGTAACAGCAGCATGTATGGAGCAGTCATAGGCCCCCTGCCTGCAGCTACTGGAGCTGAGAAGACACTGGCTTCATGCAGAGGCCGTCTGATAGCTTTGGCAAATGGATGCAGCCAGAACACTGTGACCTGGTAGAGAGGGAGCCACGGGACACATGTTCTAACCTCAGTCCCCTCCTGCTCTGTCACCTGGGCCTCTTGTTGGCTGACCCTCATCAGAAGAGAGAGGGCAGGGAAGCCATCACTGTGGCCCTCACAGTCCCCAGGGCACAGGCAAGTAGTGCTGAGTTCTCTGCAGGTCAGATAGCAGGCAGGTAGACTCCAAAGCCGAGTTTCCTAAGGGCATGGCCATCTTCTCCCCTGCCTTTGTGCTACATGTTGTCAGAATGGGTCTGCCCTCGAGGAACAATGTTTGTTTCTAACCCATATCCTCAAGTACAACTCATCCCATTAGGGTGAAAGAGGCCTCACCCCAGGCCTTGCTTTTCCTGCTTATTTCCAGGAATACTGGCCCAACCACCCAGCTCCAGACCCCTATGCCAGGCTCCAGCCTGGCCAGGGAAGGGGTTGTGTCCAGAGTATGGTAACCCACACTTGGTATTGTGAGCCTGCCTGGAGCCTGGTTAGCTACACGCTTTGGGGACAGAATGGAGCCCCTGGCTCTAAGCTCCTTGGCCTGAGGATTTGAAATATCAGTGTTGGCCCATTGTGTTGTCTCAGATGACTCGTGGGGACTCTCAGCCCCCTTGGGGTCATAAGAACTCCTTGTATACTTTAAAAGCCTTTTCTTTCTTGGCTGCTTGGGATTAGTTGTCATCCTAATAGCAGAAACAGCTTTGCCGAGTGTGTTATGCAACTGGATCCAGACGATGGTGGAGTCCCGCCAAGTGTTGAGGCATGATATGGGGAGGGGTTGCTCACAGGAGATGGCCCAGCTGCTTGGAACTCAGAAATGACAACTGTCAAAAACCAGACTGTTAGAATGTGCAGGATTGGGGCTCCCACGCGGGCGCCCAAGGCCCACCTCGGCTGGGGGAGGTCCTGCTTGGCTTTCGGAGTTCTTCACCCTCTCAGTCCAGGGGGCCAAGCAGGGCCAGCCCATGCCCTGGCTACCTTGGTCACCCTCAGCTCCAGACCAAGGGAGAAGGACACCATGGGCCATCAGATGGTGACCCCTTTCCTCAGCTTGCAGGGAGCACAGCTTCCCTTGGCAGCCAGAGCCAGAGTGGTTCCAAGGCTGTTTTCCCAACATGAGGTTTGAGTCCACGGAGCCTCCAGACTCTAAACAGATGTTTCTTCTGTTCCTAGCCTGGGGGTGGGGTGTGCTGGAGGCTGGTCCAGGCTTTGCCCTCCTTCCTTCCAGAACAAACAGCGGTAAAAAACCTGGCCCTGCCTCCCTATGCTTGAACCTGCTCTGGGCTGGGGAAGGGAGGAGGGTGTGATGGGGCTACTGAGCTGAGGCCCGGCTTTTCTGCTGACTCCAGGGTGTGAGGAGGGGCATCCGTGGCAGGCCTGTGTGGGGAGCTTGCTCAGAGCCTGAGATTATGAATCATCCCTGAGATTATCTCTCAGGTAATGGGGGAGAATGCTGGGAAGACAGCCTGCCTGCCTGAGGCCTCTTGGGAGGACAGCTGCTTGGATCCCCTGGTTTCTTGGATAATTGACTGGTTAGGAAAGCCATGAGAAAGTGCAGGAACACCTGCTTGGGGATCTTGGCAATCGGCATCTTCAGTATATAGTTCTTAGGTTTGCCAGCAAAATCTGAGCACACATGCAGGGTTGTTGAAAGCCATCAAGAGCCAGGCAGGCAGAGGACAGAGCTAAGAATGGCAGTTTTGAGAGCAAGCAGCAGATGAGAGGAGCCTGGGATCTGATCAAGGCACGAACTTTGGAAGGGAGAGGAAGACATGACGTTCCCAAACCATGCATCCACCCAGCATCAGGAAGGAAATATTGCCAAAGCCTGTGAGCAGGTGCCTTCCAGGCACAAAGATATATCCCGAGCCTTTGGAGTAAAATGGTGTGTGCTGCCCCTCCTCCCATAATTTCTGGGCCCAGAGATTCCTTCTGGCCTAATCTGTGTGAGTGAAGCGCTGTTGACAGCTGAGTGCGCTTCCTCGGCCTGACAGGTGTTCAGGGGCTGGAACTAGGGAGGACCAACCCCTTTTATGGAAGGGCTGAGCCAGGTGGGTGCCTGACCCCTCTGCACCTTTCCTCCTCACCTCTCCCAAAGCAGAGTGCAGGATGTGGAATGTGTAGCCCGAGGCTTCCCACTTGCCCTGTGTGGAATGTGTCCTACTCTTGGGTTACGCCCCAGCAGAAGGGGCTTCCAGGCTATTTGTAGTGCCCATGTGTCTCTGTCTAAAAGAAGACAGGAGGCAGCAGTCTGAGCCCTGGAATCCTGGCCTGCATTTAGAGCAGGCTTTAAAAAAAAATAAAAATAACCCCCAAGCCCCTCCTTCATGTTCCTTACAGGCCAGCCCTTTGGTAGCTGAAGATCACAATAGATGGGAATATGAGAATCCTTTAAACATTTGTCCTGGCCCCAGCGAGGTAGGGTTTAAGCAAGTCCATGAGAGCAGAGCAGTGTTAACTTTGGCTCTTGCTCTGTTGTAGTATTGGAGGTGATTTGCACCTTCTCCTTTGAACTTCACCATGAAGTTTGAATTGTTTAAAACAAGGTTGGATCATTTTTACAGAGGCTTTTAAAAAAATATAAAAGGCAATTGGGGCTTTTTTTGTTTTGCTTTTCTTTCAGTACTGGGGAATTAAACCCAGGGCCTTTACACTGAGCTACATCCCTAGCCCTTTTTAAAATTTTATTATTTTGGGATAGGGTTTTGCTAAGTTGTCCAGGCTGGGATTGAACTTGCAGTCCTTCTGCCTCAGTCTTCCAGAGTGCTGGGATTATTGAGGGCTGCTGATATTTTGAGATTTAAATATTTTAATCAAAGTCAATGGTGGCTATCACTTCCTTTTTCTCATATCCTGTCCCTGGACTTGTGTTCAGCCTGTGTCTGCAGCTTCTAGGAATCTTGTTTCCATTGTGGCTGGCACCTGTCTGTGAGGGAGAGAGCTCTGTCTGCAGGGACAAGCTGAGGTGGAAGGCAAGTGCCTCTGAGGGTGTGGCATGGGCCACGCAGTGGCCTCTTGAGACAGGGATACTGTCTTACCTATTGGAGGGAGAACTCAGAGCTCCCCAGGAGAAGTGGGTGAGAGCGGAGATGGCATGGGGAAAGAAAAGAGAGACAGTGGCTGCGTGCTGCATGCTGCGATCCCCCTTCTCAAGAATCCCCATACTAAAAAAAAAAAAAAAAAAAAAAATCCCCATACTCTCATCTGCTTGACTTAAAAATAGCAGTGGAGTAAGGAGCAGCTGGATTGTGGCCCAGTCTCCTTGTTGCCTGCTGGGTAATCTTGACCATGGCCTGCTGTGTGGGTAGTGTAAGGTGACACCAGGTTAAGACCTTTGCTCCTATCCTGATGGCCACCCTGATTGCCAAAACATGTGGCCTGGGCAGGGCAGGGGTCATTGGTTGGAGGATGAAGGAGGGGTCCACCAGTTTTGCTTTGCATAGGCTGGGCAACACCTGTAAAGTGCCAACAGCTCTATGCTTTCATGAAGGGGACCAGAGAGACCAGGATGGGTACAGCAAAGAGATTCCATTTCAGACAGACATGGATATGAAGGTTCTCTTCCAATGTGGAAAGGGCTCTTTTGTGGGGAAAACAAATTACACTGAAAATAACCTTGTCAAATTTTAGGTAGAAAGTACAGAGGCAAAAGTAGTGTAAGAGGATTGGGAATGTAGCTCAGTGGTGCAGTGTCTGCCTGGCAAGCATGAGTCCCTGAGTTCGATTTCTAGTACCAAAAAGAAAAAAAAAAGCAACATGAAGAAAAAATTTTCTCTGTGGTGGAGCCACTTGGTGGGTTCCACCATGGTGGAGCCATGCAATGATCTTTGGAAGAACTTTTAGGTCCCTTTTCCTGGACATAGAGGTGACCAAGCTCAGGCAGGGGCTCTAGAGATGATGTGCTTCTGATCATCAGGGTGTTTGGATGGGATGATATCTGAGTTCTCTTCCAAGGCAGAGGTCCTGGGATTCAAATGCTATTCTTGCTTAACTTGGGGGACAACTGAGGCCACCATGTGGGTGGTGGTAACCTGGGCTCACATGTAGCCTGTTTGTCCACACCTGGCATCCTCTGCATAGCTGGCTTTTGAGGGCCAGAGGGAGAAGAGGAAGAGTGAGAAGGGGTTCTCCCTGCGACACAGGTGAGGAGGAGGGCACCAGATACCTAGTGAGGGCTCTATAAAGTGAGCTCAGGTCCCCAGGCTCTCTGAAGAACTCAGATTTCTTAGTCTGTGTCCACAAAGCTCATTGCATGCTTGCCCTGGTCAGAGGGCTGACTTGTCTGATATTGAACCCTGCCATAGCCTGTTCTTAGGAGAAAGGGTACCCAGTGATGAGGCCAAATCCACTGTCACCCCAGGAAGCCATTGGATTCCCTTACAGGCTGCTTGCTCCAACTCTGAAGGGGAGGCAGGGACAGGATCTGGGACAAATGTCTCCATTTCGCCTTGACATTTGGTTTCTGATAGGAGGCCTGGCCTCTGGCCAGCACCACAGAGCAGGGCCAGTGGTAATGTTACAGGCTTTGTCTCGGAACACACAGCCCTGGGAGCTGCTCAGTGCTGTGTCCTGGTGTGTGTCCTGGTGGAGAGTGCAGCATGAGTTATGCTGAAAGCTCCGGGATAGCCTGAGGAGCCTGGCCTGCTTGCTGGGCTGTCTTCTCTGGTGGAGCTGTCTGGGGGGCACAGGGTATATAAGGACATACTGCAGAAGCACAGCCGACAGCAAACCCACTGGGAGGGAGAATAGAGTTGTGTTCTCGTTTTCTGTCCAGGAAATGGGCACAGAAAGATGAAGCAGGTGTTTGGCAGAGTCAGGATCTGAGACCAGATGTTTAGATTTCATGTTCAGCCTCAAAACTCCATGCTCCACCTTGCTTCTTTTTTTTTTTTGGTACCGGAGATCAAACTTGGGTCCTTGCGCTTGTGAGGCAGGTGGCGGAACCACTGAGCTAAATCCCCAGCCCTCCACCTTGCTTCTTAAAGCAAGGCATGATCATAAAAACAGCAGTCGTAATCATTTCTAACAGTTTATGGAGCTCTTTCAACTGATTTTCATGGATTAGCTCATTAATCCTCATACCACTCTGTGAGGTGGCTATTATACCACACGGGGAAACTGAGGCTAATAGAATTTAGGTATAAGAGATCCAGATGGTATTTGAACCATGACACTCATGCACTCATTGACCAGGGGTTGGGGGGTGAGAGGACCGAGGAGCACTGGAACTACAGACGTGCACACAGCTCCAGGGAGTGGGTTCTGATGAGGGGACCAAGGCAGTCATATTGCCTCTTCGGTTCTGTGTGATATTGGTTGGCTACCTCTGCACCCAGGAGACCCAGGCACACATAAGCAGAGCAGAGGATATGGTGGGCCTTGCTTGCATTTGAGTGGATGCCCACTGTTAGTTTAGATCTCAGTGCTGAGCTGCGCAGGGCTACATGTCTTGACTATTGATGTGCGTCTTCCCATCTCCCAGATGCTGCAAGGCTCATCTTCCTACCTCGACGAGGCTGCTGCCCTCCTTCCCCCTGAGCCCAAAGAAAGAAGTGGTCATAGTTGACATACTAGTGTATTCCAGGGCATGAGGCCAGGGCCTTGGGAGGAGCGGTGATGGAGATTGGTGACAAGGTGATTTTGAGCAATTTTTTCAACTGCCCGTTAGGATCTGTCAGCCCTAGTGGTTCATGACCAGCATTTGTAAAAGGAGAGGGGAAGCCGGGGATTTAGCTCAGTGGTTCTGCTGTCTGCCTTGCAAGCACAAGGACCCGAGTTCGATCCCTGGTACCAAAAAAAAAAAAAAAAGAAAGAAAGAAAAGGAGAGGGGAGAGATAAATCCGAAATATAGAGAAAATAGTGGCAGTTGTAAAGGTTAGAATTTCTGTGATGGTTTATTTCTGCAAACATTCATCCTTCAGTACTCACAGGAGATTGGTTCAGGGCCTCCACAGATGCCAAAATCCACAGATGCTCAAGTCCCTTGTAGAAAATAGTATAGATTACATGTAACCTATGTACATCCTCCTAGATTCTTTAAATCATCTCCAGATGACTTATAATACTTGATACAAAGTAAATGCTGTGTAAGTGCTTGTTATCCTGTATGGTTTAGGGAATAATGAGAGGCAAAAAAAGGTCTGTATATGTTCACTACAGATAGAGTTTTTTCCTTAATATTTTCAATTGAAGACTGGTTGAATGTGTGGGTATGTATATGTGTGTGTGTACTGAAATGTGATGGAAAATAACTTTCTTATTGAAGGTCATAGTTTTAAAAGGAGTTTAAAAATAGTGTTTCAGGAGGCAAATGTGAATTTAGTTTTTGCTTAGTCATATATCATTTAGATCATGCTGATTTTCTTTATATAATTGATTGTATTTAATTTTTTATGTAAACTTAATTTCACTGAAAATTTAAATAAAGTCTTTAAGTCAAAAAAGCAACTGTAAGCTGCGCATGGTACAATTCTAGTCCTCTGGGAGCCTGAGGTAGGAGGATCACAGGTTTGAGCCTAACCTGGACAACTTAGGGAGATCCTGTCTCAAAATAAAAAAGGGCTGGGGATGTAGCACAGTATATCCTGGGTTCAGTCTCCACTACTACTACTACTACTACTATGACTACTACTACTACTAAAAAGGTAAGTCTATGTAAGTCAAAAAATGCACTGTATGAACTGTACAGGCAGTGCATGGATATAGGAATCTGTTTTGGGAACAGGGATCTGGGTCCTGTTGCAGCTGGGCTGGCTGCTGGGTGGGACCGTGTTCTGATGCGGACTTCTCTGTTGCAGGAACCTGGCCAACTGTGAGCGCCTCATTGAAGTGGAGGACATGATGGTGATGGGCCGCAAGCCAGACCCCATGTGCGTCTTCACCTACGTCCAGTCGCTCTACAACCACCTGCGTCGCTTTGAGTAAAGCCCAGGGGCCTGGAGAGCCAGAAGGCCCCCCAGAAAGAGACTGTGGAGCTGCTTGTGTTCCCCAAGTCAGGACGACCCCCTGAGAAGAGTTGCCCATGGTGTGAGCTGGCTGTCCTCTGGTGGTGACTCTGCGACCCTCCATGCCCAGCTGTGTTACTGATTAAAAGCACCGCTGGGTGCACCCTGACAGCACTGTTGCAGCCAAGGGTTCAAAGGAAATGGGAAAATTTCCAGAGAGACAGAAATTGGTGCTAAGTAATGATTTTCCTAAAGAATAGCTTGCCTGTGTAGATTTCGGAATGCTAAATTACAGGTTTTCCCTCTGGTGAATTTGATACATTGGCTGGACAGGGTTCCATTGATTACCAAGTGTTTTTTTTTTTTTTTATCAAAATATCCAGAGTTTTTTACTTCCTCACACTATTGTAGGTCCCTTTCCTCCCTCGCTTTGGGCCAGTGCCAGGAAACAGAGCGCACTTAATCAGCAGCCTGACAAAGAAGACCGAAGGCTTGGGAAGAAACATTTTAATCACACCCAAGTCCTTAGCAACAGATGACCTTCAAGCCACCTCTACCCACTGGGGAGATGGGAAGGCTCTTGCCTTGGTCCTAAGGGCTCTTCTTCCCAGGAGGTGCTCTGGAAGGTCACGCTCTTGGGAAGGGATAGGCCTTTGTGCTGAGAGAGTTTTAAATTCACATCTTTTTAGGGGATTTGCTGCAGGTATTTATAAAGTAATTTCATCTGAACCATTGACCCTTTTATTTGTACATAAAAAAAATGTGTCAAACTTGGCTTGAGATTTGTTATTTCTGTTTGAGTGATGTGGGTACTGGGAATAAGAGTCTTTGTACATATTCAAATGAGGATCTACCTAAATCCTACCTTTAATGTTCTTGTACTTAAATCACTTGCCCAGGAAGCTGAAAATGACATTTGCTATGTCCAAATTCATCTGTCAGCTGCCCATCTTCATGTTGTCAAAGGAGTGCGAACAGAAGGTTCCTTCTTACACATCTGTCCCTTGGAGGCTGACAAATGTTTTATGATAAAAAGTGGCCGTGGCCCTCAACAGAAGATTCTGAAGTAGTCCTTTTTTCCCCCTTCTTGCAGTACTGGGGACGGAAGTCAGGGCCTTGTGCAGACTGGGCAAGTGCTCTACCACTGAGCTCCCCATACACCCCAGCCTGCCTCTGGGGTGGCCCTTTGGATAGAAGTGTACTGAAGAGTGCTGGTTTAATTTTACAGCTGTTTGGTGGTAGGATTTTAATAGATAAATCTTTATATTCTATAAAGCTGCACCCAATAGTTTATTCTCACTCAAAAATCATTTTATAATTGGATTGGGTTTTTGCCATGGACTTCTAAAATATCCTTTAAAGAGCTAATGTGGGTCTTCATCTCGTGCAGTGGGCCTTGAACACCAGTGCTGCTGTGTCTTTGTGGAGTCACATGTATGTCCTTTGTGTTGGGAGTCAGGGACAAGCTCCTTGGGGAATCAGGAGGTATGGCAGAGCTTGCTAAGGGGTAAACAAAAGTTTCAGTGGATTTGCTTTTTCAGATCGTAGCCTTTCCCCACCTTTTGGATTCTCCCACAGCGGGAAGCATTCCCTTTCTAGCTGCTTGCAGGGCTTGAGAAGGTGAGCCCCATTATTAGCAGAGACACATACTGGGCCTTAGGGTTTCAAACCTAAAGCCAATATGGGAATGCTAGGGCTCTATAAAAAGCATGCCTATATGTTACTGAGTGCTTACATGTGTTGAATAGAGCTCTCTTGACCTGCAGACATGGCCTTGAACCTCTGCACACAAAATATAGCAGATCTTTCTGGAATGAGGAATAGTTCACTCAAACGTAAAGAATAGTGTCCCTCGTAGCTCACCTTCAGAATGATGCATACTAGACGTGGTGGTTCCTTGATGTCCTAGTCTGTGGTCTTTGGGTGAATCGAATGAGGGATCCTAAAAGTTAGTGAATTTTAAACCTCTTAACACAAAGCATCAAGGTTCTGGGGCACTGGGGGGAAATGCAGGAAGGCCTCACAATCTCAAGACTTTTGGGAACCACCATTTTTAACTGGGGTTACAGGAAAGTTCCCGGTTTGTGGAATCTGAGTGCTCATTGCCTTCTATGATGATGTGGAGGGTTTCACATCTCTTTTTTCCTCTCTTGAAATAATTATTTCTTGGAGCTGCTTGTAAAACTCTCCTGTTTTTTCCATATAGATTGATTCCTTCACCTGCACTTTGTTAAAATGTACTAAATCTGACCAAAAAGGTCACTGTGTTTCCCTGAAGTGAACGTTTCACCAGAGCCAAGATGGGTTTAAGCTATTCTGACAGCTGATGGATATTTTTCCAGGCACATGAGACCCTATAAGTGCCCTCTGAATATGATATAGCACAGGCTGGTTAGAGGAGAACGTACAGGCCAGGTGTTTGGGGAACAGTTTGTTGAAGCCAATGAATTTCGCAAATGTGTTAGATGATGAAAAGTTCTCAGCTTTCCCAGTGGCAGTGGTCAGGACTCTGTAACCAGAGGAGACCAGCATGAGGGAAGACTTCGTTTTCTGCCATTATGATCAGTCTGTATGACTCCACATTATCGCATAGGAAGCTGAAAATGCTGATTCAGTTGGTCCGTTTGGGTGAGGCATCTTACCAATCCAGAACCAACTCTGGTTTTGAGTTTCTCTAGCTAGTGGCAGGTGAGCAACTCAATCTGATGACTTGATTATACTTATTGAGACGATCAATTTGATCCCTACTTTTCCCATCTCTTACGTATGCTCTCTCATCTTCAGAATCAGCTTCAGTGAAATGATAAATGTACTTGAGACGATGTTTTCTTTTTGCCTTTTTTCTCTTCACTACCAGAAGCTGAGCCCATGGCCTCTTGCATGCTAGGCAAGCACTCTACCACTGAGCCACACCACCAGCCCTTTAAAAAGATTTTTTTTGAGACATACTGTATTTAGTTGTCCAGGCTAGCCCAGAATTTGCAATCCTCCTGCCTCAGCCTGCCAAGTAGCTGGAATGATAAGTGTGTGCTATTGCACCTGGCTGGTATGATCATTTTTTAGCCATCGCATTTCTCTTGCTTTTAAACTTCGGTCTGGATTTCCTTTTATAGCCTTTGATCTCTTATCATTGTTCTTTGAAAGAGCATATTAAGAATTCCTAAGGCAGAAAAGACTTTATGAACAAAACTTCAGTAGCATGGGAGCTAACACAAAGAATCAACAACTGGAATCTCATCTTATTAAAAAGCTTCTGCACTGCAAGAGAAACTACCAACAGAGCTAAGAGACAACCTAGCAGCTGTACT